ATTATTATTATTACATATTAAATATATATAAATGTAATCTCTATTTAATACATAAGATAATATTTTATATATAAATAGATTAGAAGTTATAACCGGATGAAAAATTAAGTCATTGTCGCCTTTTGAAACCGTGTATGAACATCCAGCTTACCTTATGACGAAGAAGCACCAGCACAATGATCATGGACGACGACCAAGACTAATGGTACCTTTGGATAGAAAAAATCTACAAGACGAGCCCACGGCTATCGTTAAAGGTGTCTTGACGGCTAATTACCACCACACACATTGCTGTACAATGACCGAGAAGAAGCATGGGGTGCGCCTTTTGATGGAGAAATTCTACAAGAGGAGCCCACTGCTTTTGTTAAAGATGTCTAAGCGACGACAAGCAAGATTTATGGAACTCTTTGATAGAAAAATTCCACAAGAGGAGCCCACTGCAATTGTTAAAGGTGTCAGTGCCATCTATAAAAAAATAAAGTGTCGGTGCTAATTAACGTATAAAATTAAAAAGGTAGTGTAGGATATATAGGTTAACTATTGTACCAAAATTAGGTAAAAAATAAAGGTTAAATGCTAAATTTGGTCCCTCAACTTTAGTGAGTTGCACATTTTTGGTCTCTTAACAATTTTTTGCACTTTTTTGATCCCTCAACTATACGAAATGCACTCCGTTAGTCCTTCTGTTAAATTGGACCGTTAACTCTGCTTACGTGGCATTTTTTATATTTTTTTTGATGATGTGGAGGGAAAAATTTTAAAAAGTGATGACGTGCACAAAAACTTTTGCCATGTCATGCTACCGTGGCCAAAAAGCCAAATCCTTTCAAGTGGGTCCCACACATCACCACTAAGAATTGCTTCTGTCCATTGATTACTGTTTCTGTTCTTTCCATCGACGAAGAATTGCTTCTGTCCATTGATTACTGTTTCTGTTCTTTCCATTTTCAAGATTGAAATCATTTAAACAATACTTCAAAAATAAGAAGAAAAAAAATCCCAAAAATCACTCACAACAGCCTGCAATTTGAATAATCTCTTTATAAGCAAGCATATAACAAAAAAAAAAAGTTGAGCTGGGTTCGCCGGAACCCAACCTGGGTTCCACCAAACCCAGCTCTGCTGGGTTCTGTGAAACAGTTTCCATCGAACCCAGCTCAATTCACTATAATTCAGTTGTTCAAAAATCCCTCGCAACAACCTGCAATTTGGATAATCTCTTGGCAAACAATCATATAA